ATCATCATCATCAACATCATCAGCATCGTCATCATCACCCTTCTCCTCCTCCTCCTCCTCCCCCTCCTCCTCCTCCTCCTCCTCCTCCTCCTCCTCCTCCTCCTCTTCCTCCTCCTCTTCCTCTCGCGGAAGGGACACCCCCTGAGTGCCACGCCGCGGCGGTCGCGCCCGACGCCGCGGCGGCCTGCAGGGCCTGGACAGGCCCGCGCTTCGATCTGCTCGATGCGGCCCCGGAATGCCCAACTTACGACGATGCGGGATTTTGAACCTCGTTTGTTTCCCTCGGTGTTGGCCTCCGGGGGCTTGCATCTTGGACGCACAAAATCGGAGGAGGAGACGGAGAAGCAGAAGGAGAAGGACGAGGAGGAGGAGGAGGAGGAGGAGGAAGACGAGGGGGATGAGGAGGAGTGGGAGGAGGAGGACGAGGGGTAGGAAGAGAAGGAGAAGGAAGATGATGATGATGCTGATGATGATGATGATGATGAGGATGATGATGATGATGATGATGATGATGATGAGGATGATGATGATGATGCTGATGATGCTGATGATGATGATGATGATGATGATGATGGTGCTGATGATGAGGAGGATAATACTGAGTATAAGGAGGAGGAGGAGGAGGAGATGGTGGTGGAGGAGGAGGAGGAGTAGGGGATGAAGAAGGAGGGGGAGGCGGGGGAGGGGGAGGGGGAGGGGGAGGGGGAGGAGGAAGGGGAGGGGGAGGAGGGAGGGCCTGGGACCTTCAAGAACGGACTCCCTGGACGCATGGGAGGGGTCGGGAGCCCCTAACAGGCCCTCGCCTCGACCTGCTGGACCCAGACATACAGCGTCCTGACAAAATCAAGACGGCGGCTCTTCTCAGGTCGGGGAGACGTAAAACTCGGGTACAGGGGACTCGGGTTGGCCTGACGGGGCCATCGTGAAAATGACGAGACACACTCGTCAAGTGGACGCGAACTCCCAACTCCCGCTGCAAGCATCCTACGGAAACTGGAACAGCAAACAAAACCCAAGACGCGCTCGTCAAAAAGTGTCGGCGAACCCGAGTTCTGGCGTACTGAAGTCTTACGTTTCCCCGATCAGGAGAAGGCCATCCAGGCATGCTCGCGTCGTAACAAAATACAGGGGCCCAAGGACACACACACACATAAATACACACCATTCCCGAGATTCGCAATATTTTCGAAATATTGTCTGGGCCTTCGTGGCTCCCCCCCCCCCCCCATTTTCCATATTTTCCCATATTTCCCAGGGGTCGACGGTTAATTGTGTCTGTGTGGTGCTTCCCATCCTGGCAGAAACCACGGCGGGAGGGTTTTGGCACCTTTCGACCATGGGGGCCCTTACCAAATCCACGGGACCGTCTAAGAACGACTCGGGCGGAAACCCGGGCCCTGCAGAAAGAGGCGAGAATCCTGGGGGCCGGTCGGTCCTGCGACAGTGCATGCTATGCAATGAGTTATTCCTCGATCTTCTCCTCCTCCTCCTCCTCAGCCTTCCTCAGCCTTCCTCAGCCCCTCGTGACTTGCCCGCAGATCCAGGCAACTCGAGCGGATCCTCGCGAAATTATTCTGTGTCGCGCTCTCCTCTGCGAGCGGCCGACGGGGGGCCGCTCGAGGAGGAGAGCGCGACACAGATAATCCCCCCCACCGCCCTCCCCCCCCATGGGCAGGGGCTTGATGTCAAGGGGGAACGTCCGGGGGGGGGGCGCCGGCTCGGGGGGGGGGGCGGGGCAGACCGATCTGGAGTCGGCCTCCCATCGCCGACGGATCATTGATAGGCCCGCGGCCCCCGAGAGCGAGTTCGCACGGTCCTGGGCGAGGTGGGCTCGGCGGGTCGAGCCTGGCGCCTGCACGGCGCATTGGCACACAAAACGTCGGAGGCCGTGAGACCTCTGGGGAGGGCATCGGAATCCACTGCAAATCCCAGCTGACATCTCCCAATTGCGATAGCGCGCGGCGAGAGCGAGGAGCTCATCACGACCGTGAGGCACATCGCGCCCAGCGCATCACGACTGTGACGCAGAAGACAGGGCGCCCGGCTGCGAAGAAGAACACGACATAGAGCAGGAAGAAGCGGAGGGAGGGGGGAAGGGGGGGGGAGGGCGCCCGGAGGGAAGAGCGGGAAGGACGGGTGGGCTGCCAGACCCACATCGGCGCTCACTGGGCGATTGGGGTCGACGCGCCCTCCCCGAGCCAGTTCCGTCGTCGCACTGCCCCCGAGGTGTCCCCCCCAAAACAGAGGTAAGATCGGCGGCGCGCCCAGGAATGGAGGAGGCGGGCCTTCCAGGCTAAGCAAGCCTCCTCCTCCTCCTCCTCCTGCCTTCTGACTCGCTTTTTCTGGGCCTTCCCTGTGGGCGGACACAGATGGCCGCTCGAAAGGCCGCAGGGTTTCTGAAAAGCGCCGCCGCCTGCTGACCCTGCTCACCTCACGTCGGGTCTCCGCTGGCCGCTCGGGACGATCCGGGCACCCGTGGGCGGCCATGGGCAATGCGCAGCTGCCGGGACGTAGCCCGAGGCAAGGAGAGAAATGAGAAGGAGCTCCTCCCCACGTGACACAGCCCATGACAGTGGGAAGGGTCGCGGTGTCCTCGCGTCCAGGGCGGCGCCCCCGCCCACGCTGGGGCGCTTCCAGGGCGGCGGCAGCAACGGGGGGTCCTCCGCCCTCTCGTCCACTGCACCCTCCTTCCCTCCCTCCCTGCCTTTCTCCACTTTCGCCCATCTGATCATACTCTTCGTCCTCCTCCTCCTCCTCCTCCTCCTCCTCCTCCTCCTCCTCCTCACCTCCTACCCCTCTCCTCCCTCCACCTCCCTTCCTCGGCCTCCTCCTCCTCCTCCTCCTCCTCCTCCTCCCTCTCCTCTCTCCTCCTCCTACTCGTCCTCCTGCTCCTCCACCACCACCACCACCTCTTTTTCTGTATTTTCCTCCTCCTCCTCCTCCTCCTCCTCCTCCTCCTCCTTCTCCTCTTCTTTCCACCTCCCCCGATCGTCGCCCTCCACGCCCCTCCCTCCACATCCACCTCATCACCCTCCCTCCCCCTTCCTCCCCCTCCCCGCCACCTCCCTGCCTTGTCGCCCCCCGCCCCCCCTCCACTTTCGCCCTCCTTCCGTCGCCGTCGACCTCGGCCATCCTCCTCGACCTCGTCGCCGTCGTCGCCCGCGGCCCTCTTCCACCCTGCCTCCCCCCGCCTCTTTTCTTTGTGGGGGCGAGAGAGATGCGGATGGCTCGGGGCGATTCTCGGTTTCATGGGGGAGGCCCTTGCTGGGCCCCTGGCCCGTCCACGGGACGGCTCCGGATGAGGAGCCAGTCCCCTGGGGGGAGGGGTGCAGTTGTCCAGGAGGCTTCCATCGCGAGGAACACGAGCGCGGAGACAAGGGTCTGGGGCCTGCTCCTCCCCATTGCTCGTGGTCCTTTTTCCCGTCTCCACCTTTTCATCCTCTTCTTCCTCCTGCTGTCCTCCTCCATCACCTCCTCCTCCTTATGATTAGACCTTCCTTCTCGTCTCCCTCTCCTGTCCCTTTTCCTCATGTTCCATGTACTCCTTCTCCTTCTCCTTGCCCTCAGTCTTTTCCTCCCCCTCCTCCTTCTCATTATCCTTCCCTCCTTCTCGTGTTCATTGCCTTTTATGATTATCCTGTTCCTTCGGCGTCCTTCTCCTTCTCTCCTCCCAATTCCGTCCTCAGCCAGTGAACAGATGGGAGGATGAAGGTCGAGTGAGCAGGAAGAGAAAGATGATGATGATGATGATGATGATGATGATGATGATGATGATGATGATGATGATGATGATGATGATGATGATGATGATGATGATGATGATGAGGAGGAGGAGGAGGAGGAGGGAGAACATGACTTTAAACTTTTGAGAAGGAGGAGCTCGGGGGAGGAGGACGAGGAGGAGAAAGAGGAAGATGAGGAGAAGGAAGATGAGCAAGATAAGGACCAACGCGGAAGCCAATATGCATCAACCGATGCTACAATACGACGTCCCGTCCCAAGCCCCCTCCTTCGAAGTCCATCGGCATGTTCTTTTCTACTGCGGCCGCCACCCTTTGAATGACAAACGGCTGGCCAGTCCGTCGCTCAGGCAGACGAGGGCGCCTGTGATAAGGGATTCTCCCTCCGTTTGAAGGACGCCTTATGTAGCCCCATTTTGAAAAGCACGTTCCCTCCATCCGTCTTAACGATGCAAGATGTCGAAGAAGTGGACGTGACGAGGACGTATGTTATGCGGAAGTCCTACGCGAGAGTTCTTCACGGAGGCCAAGGGATAGTTTCATGCTGAAGAAGACATGCCCTCCATACGCCTCAACGTTGCAGTATGTCAAAAGCGTTTGCGTATGCTTTTCGGAAGCCTCACGGGAGCCCCGTTTCGAAAGAGGGAGACGCCCTCCATCCGCGTCAGCTGTAGCACACTATGGAACGCTGGGTCGTAGACCACGAGGAAGGGCAACGTGAGTGTAGATGGTGGATTGTAGGATCGAGTGCGCGCGAGGCCAAGGGGAGATCCCAATACGGTGGGGGCGTCCGTTAACACATGTGCACAGGGTAGAGGTGGTTGCAGACTCCGGAGGATTCCTTATCTGATGCGGGCGGCGGTGATATCAATGGCCGAGCCAAGATTAGAGGTCCACCGGCCTCCAGACCCTTGACTCCATATCCATGGGTTCCTTATCACATGCCCCCAACGTTTTGGAAACAACTCGCCATCCACTCGCGCAGCTACATAAGGACACTTTGGAATCCGACTATGCACGCGCCAGGGCGAGACCCTTTGTTTGAAAACGACCCGCCCTCTATCTGGTATTCGGTTGTGTGGAACGACGGTGTGCGGCGCCAGCAAGCGCGAGAGCCCCATTATGAAAACCGTTTGTGGTCCACGTGTCGCTGCGATCAGAAATTGTCTGCTCATTGAAGACTCCCGCGGCGACGCAGACGATGAAGATGTGAATGTGAATGCTGCTGTTGCTGCGGGCGACCGCGAACCTCGGAGCGCCTTGAGGGATTGTCACGTGTTGGAGCGCCTGGGAGGGTCCTGTAGTGCCGTGAGCGCCTGGGGCAGCTTGGGGGACGCTTGAGTCCAACATCGGAGTCGGCGAGGGGTGCCCGAAACATATCGATATACGATGTATGTGCTTTACATATATACACACATAGATACGATTTGTTTCTGCCTTCTGTTCCCAGACGCTCTTTAGGGATGCAGTTCAGCAGATGCGAATACATGGTTTTACATGATATGGTGGAGGTTGGATCCAATGAGTGCGCACCGAATTGCATCTGTAGCGTTGGATGGTAGGGATTGGGTCGGAAAGTCATACATGTGCATCGGATGGTGAGGGTTTGGTCGGATGGGTGTGCACGCCTGTTGTTGTGGTTGTTGCATTGAAAAGGGCTGGGTCGTATGGACGTGCGCAAACTATGGTACGTTTGTTTATACGGGATGGTGAAGGTTAGGTCGTATGGCTGTGAGCAGACATGTATTTGCTGCATGGCATGGTGAGGGTTGTGTCGTATGGATGTGCACCAGATAATAGTTGCGGCATCGGATGCCGAGGGTTGGGTCGCATAGCTGTGCGCGGCGCCATTGCGAGAACCAAATATTTGAAAAAGCACCAGCCTTCAACCTCGAAGCTGCCGCAGGTTTGTTAAGGACAAATGTGCGCGGCACTGCAGTGATAACCATCATTTGAACACGAACCGACTTCCATCCTTAACAGAGTGCACATTGTTGAACGAGTGTGCGCGGGGAAGAAGCGAGAACCACACTTTGAAAACCAACCGGGCTCCATCCTTGAACCTGTTGCAAGTTTCAAACTTCAAGATCTTCATTGGCGAAGAAATCTCAAACGAAACGCCCCGCCCGGCTAACGAACACGTCCGGTGGTGCGACACGGCAGACTTAACCCGAAGGGTCTATAGACCCTCCCTCCCAAAGAGGGGGTAACTAATTCAGTGTTTGGAGCCTTATTTACGGACTGGGGTCCCCTAAGAGGGGGTAATTCGATATTTGTTTCCCGCGGCATCCGCCGCGCAACATCGACACGGACAGCTACGACTACGATTGCGACCACGACTACGACGACTACTCGCACTTCTGCTTCAGAAGCCTCTCACGGAAAGAGGAGCGGGAGGAGGACGAGGACGAGGAGGAGGAGGAGGAGAAGGAGGAGGAGCAGGGGGAGGAGGAGAAGGAGGAGGAGGAGGAGGAGGACGAAGGGGGGGAGGTTTTCAGACCAGTCCTGCTTACCGCCGACAGAAAAGGGGAGGGGGTCAAAACTAAAGACCGTTAGAGGTTATCTACCAGGGAAACAAAAAACGGAGGAGTAGAAGGGGGGAGGTCGGAGGATGAAAAGGAGGAGGAGGAGGAGGAGGAGGAGGAGGGGGAGGAGGAGGAGGAGGAAGAAGAGGAGGAGGACCGGGGAGCGGGAACCTTGGGGCCGAGGGGAAACGGGTGAGCGGGCAGCAGGCAGGGGGGCCCATGTTCGTCGCCTTCGCGCCGCCCATGGTTACGCGGCTGTCGGGGGGACGAGACCCAAATTGCGCATGCTGGTGCCATGGAAGGCCCCTGAGGGACCTCTTACGCCGTAATTCGCCGACTCCCTCCCCTGGCTTCCAAGACATATCCGACGGCCATCCGACGGCTATCCGGCGAGGCGTAGCTGCTTGAACGCATCCCGAGGGAGCACAACCTCAAAGAGCCGACGAAGGCGTCCGAAAACCTTCGCTCCTCTCGACGGTACTGGGGCGCTGAGACCATTTTCGGGTCGGCACCACAGGGACCATAGCAGGAGAGAGGTGGGCAAATCAGCTCACGTGGCTGGTTTCCCCGCCGCCCCTCGGCGCCGAAGGCGCCTGTGTGCCGAGGAAAGGCCCCCGCGGCGGAGAGCCGAGGCTCCCGCAACCCTATACATCGAACGTTTTTTCTGGCCCCGCATGGAAATTCGCACAGGAAAACGGATCCTTGTATATGAGGGATCCTGGTGTATACATTTTTCGTTGCTTCCCCGGGAAATCGGGGGAAAAAAAATACACCACACCACGCCGACGTCGTCCCCGACCGTCGAAAAGTCTTAGGATTGAAAAACGACCCACGATGGTCATGTAGATGTTCCAGTTTCCGACAAACCCCGGGGCCCATCCTGACCCGTCGACTCGACGCGGATCCAGCCGTGGCAACGAGAAGCTCCCGGGAAGCCCACCAGGAACAGTCCCAAACGCCAGGCCGGGGACGCCGTGGTCTCGGCCGGCCCCGGAGGCATCCCAGATGCCGTCAGAGCAGAGTGGCGCCGGGAGGTCGGCGATGCATCGGCGACGCTGGCGCGGGTAAGGTCGGGCAGGGCTGAACCTAAGTGGTGTTATTCGTTTTCGTTTTGTTTTCGGTTTCCCTCGCTTTCGTCTCGAATCCGCCTTTATCGCAAAACGAAGTCGGAACGAAAACGGCCCACGAAATCGCCACTAACACCGTTTATGTCCAGCCCTGAGGTCGGGCTCCGCAAGCGATTCTCCGACTCCCTCTACTCTGGCGCGGCCCCTGCGCCCGATCGTGGACCCCAGAGGCCGAAAGCAAGGAAAAGCGGTCACAAAAAAGTGCACCCCGCTGGGGCGGCGATGCATCGGCGAGGCGAACGATCCTCTGGCCCCATCCACTCCGACCCCGTCCGGAAGGCTTGTAACCCTGAGATGCGACGGCGCGAACAAAAAAAACTAGACCCCCTCTTTCTGCAATATTCTTCGAGCCGGATCGATCTGCGAGGGTCCCGGGCCCGAAGCCCGAGACCCGACGAAAACGCCAAGCTTTACAAAATTGAAACGCCAGGGTCTCCAGGAAAGCCTCTCCTCCCTCTAATGTGACCAAACGATTAATATATATATATATATATATATATATATAGAAGGTTTTCCGGGGGGGCGCGTCGGACACGATTAGGCGCCGCGACGCCGGGCGCTTTGAGCCCAGGGCGGCGGCGAAGCGGGCGGCGGTGCCGGCGGGGGGGGGGGAGGGGGGGGAGGGGAAGAGAGCGGGGGAGGGGGAGGCCGGAGGTGGTTCCCGTCGCCGCCCCTCCTCCCCTTTCCTCTCCGCCTTCCCTCTCCCCCCTCCTCCCCTCTCCTCCCCGCCTTCTCTCTCCCCCTGACAGGCGGCGTCAGGCAGCCCGCCGGCCCCGCGACCGCGCGCGCCTCCTCGGCCCAGGAAACGCACCCCTCACGCGGACCACGGGGTCTGAGCGAACAGGGGGTTGGGACGGGCAGTCACGACCCTCGCCACCCTCCCGCCCTCAGGACTGGAGGGAAAGGGGGTCGTGTGACCTTCGCCCCCGCCCGTGGGAGCCCCCATTCGCCCGCGAACAGGGGGTTGGTACGAACGTTCACGACCCCTCCCCCCCCCAGCCGCGGCCGCGGCTGAGGGGAGGCGGGGTCGTGATCATCCGCACGTGGGAGCCCCATTCGCGGACCCTTCCCGTTCCCATTCCGCCCCCTCTCCTCCCTTCCCTCCCTCCTCCCCTTCCCCTCCCCCCCCCCGAGAGGGAAGAATGGTAGGATGGGCGCCCGAAGAGTGCCAGGTTCTTCCCAGTCAGGCAGGCCCGCGTCGTCGAAGGGCTTGGTGGCCGGCAGAGCAGGGGAAGGAAGGGAGAGGAGGGGGGGAGGGAGCCGTTCGGAGGCCTTCGGCTGCCCTCCCTCGGAGCCCCTCGGAGCCCTTCGGCAGCCTTGCCTTCGGCGGCCCTCGGCGGGCCTTCGGCAGCCTTCGGCGGCTTTCCCCTCCTCCGCCTCCTCATCCTCCTCTCCCTCCTCCCGTTTTTTTGTCCTGGGTGTGCGGTGTTTCCGACAAAAAAGGAAACCAAAAATGGGAGACACATTTAAACATAATAATAAAAAGCGGAAACGGAAAAACAGCGGGTAGAGGCGGGGCGAAGGTAGCGGAAGGACACGATTAAAAAAAAGCTTCCGGGCGAAAATCCTAATCGGGGCGTTCCTTGTTTCTGGGGGAGGGGGGGGCGGGGAGGGGGGGGGGGTGCATTTTTTAATCATGTGGTCACATTGCGGCAGCTTCGCGTCGTGACGACCCCGGCGCTGCTTCCTGACACCGCGGGGATCGTTCAACCTTGAACGATCAGCCGTTTCCGAAACGTCAGATCGTTCAACGACGGGCCGATTCTGAGCCACGGGCGGCGTTCAACTTTGACCGCAGGCAGCGGGGTCGCCTCAGCGCAGGGCCGTTACGGCCTGCGCACCACTGCAGCCGGCGCCATCTAGCGCTCGCCCTGCAGAGCTGCGGCTGGCCGGAGCCGTTCCTTCGAGACGGGACGCCTCCACTGCCCCCGAGGCGGGGGAGCCCAGAGTCGAATAGCCGGCTCGACAAAGGATTGAGTAGGGACCGACCGTTCCGGCATTCCTATAGACCTACCAGGACATTCTCTTAGAATCTAAAAAATGCTCTAAGAACTAAACAGATGCCCTCATAACATTAACCCGACCTGTTAAAGCAAGGCAGCCCCAACCAGGAATGCTCTAAGAACATGTCGTGGAAACCACAAAAGGTTCTTAGAACAGTTTTTGGTAGGCCGATAGGCACGCCAGGACGCATCGCCACTGCTTGAAAGGAAGCGGATCGGATCGAAATCGGCAGCCACACCGTGGAGACATCGACTCGGCGGACATCGGCAGGAAGGCCTCCGTTGAGAAACCTGAACTCACATCGAAACTATCGAAGTCGAATAGGAATCGGGATCGGATACGGAATCGAATCGGAGGAGTCGGCATGAGCCCTGCTCCCCCAGAGGGGAGAGGGGGAGGAGAAGGAAGAGGAGGAGGAGGAGGAGGAGGGGAAGGAGGAGGAGGGAGGAGGAGGAGGAGAGGAGGAGGAGGAGGAGGAGGAGGAGGAGGAGGAGGAGGAGGAGAAGGAAGAGGGGAGCAGGAGGGGGAGGAGGAGGAAGAGGAGGAGGAGGAGGAGGAGGAGGAGGAGGAGGAGGAGGAGGAGGAGGCGGAGGAGGAGCGGCACTACCCCCCCGGGCGGCCCCTCCATGAGGCCGCACTCTCGCAGGCCAGCGGCCAGCGGCAGCTGCGGCGCCGCCGCTGGCCCTCCCGAGGGGCCCTCGGCTCTGCGCCCCGCTGCCGCTGCTACCCTCCGCTGCTTCACAGGCCTCCCACCTGATGTCTGCGCTGCGGGAGAGGCGGAATGGCGAGGAGGGGGGAGGGGGAATGGCGGAGGACGGAGCTCGGAGGAGGAGGGAGGAGGGGACGGAATGACGAGGACGGGTTTTTTTCCCCCAGGGTCGGGCCCCGGGACCCTCACAGATCGATCGGGCTCGAAAAGTGGCGCAGGAAGGTGCGGTCCTGTGCTCAGGCTGTGGACGAGCTGAGCGCGCTCGCGGCGTATTTGACGTCCTATCCTTCCCTCACATGCCTTCCCCTTGCGTTGATTTTGTCTTTGCCAGCAGACGCGTGCCATACGTAACCGACCTGGAACTCTGCAAACGACCCATAGTGTTATGCACAGTGGGGATGAGGATGGAGGAAGAGAGGGCGGACTGGCAAGGGTTGGGAAGGATGATATTCGAGCAGAATGGAGAAAGAGGCCTGGGCCGTGGATGTCCCGGGCCACCATCCCTGGGCACAGCTGGGGCTGGAGATGCACACCAAGTCGTCTGGTCGGCCACGGAGCTCGGTGTGCATTTATGCACCTCAGCGTCTCAAACTGCGGGACGCCGGAGCACATATACACCGGACTCCTTCGCCCGTTTCCGCGCTCCCTGGCCGACCAGCCGGCGTGGTGTATGCGTCAAGCCCCTCCGAACATCCCCTGCTTCCCAACTGGTGGGGGCCCTTCTCTGCCGCAGCTGGCCAGGGACTTGCCATCGCTCGGACGCCCATCCCCCCGTGCGTTTTCCGGTCTCGTGCGAGGTTTTCTGTTGCCCGATGATCCAGGATGCTCCTCGATGGTCCAGGAGGAGGAGGAGGAGGAGAAGGAGGAGACGAGCGTAAAGGGGGGGTTCATCCTCCACAAGCTGCCAGCCTATCGACCCAACGGCCAATGGCTCTTCTCGACGCGATAGAAAGCGGAGGCGACGTGCGACAGCGGAAGCGAGGAGCGGTAGCGAGCGGTGGCGTGGAGCAAATGACAGGGAGGCGCACATGGAGTGGTCGACAAGACCCCAGAGGGGGAAGCAGGAGGGGAGCACGCATGGGCACGAGCAGGACTCGGGAGCGAAGGACCAGGAGAGGAAGGCGTCGCTTGGCCAGCGACGGGTTCAGGGGGAGAAACAAGGGCCCAGAGAGGGACGGTAGAAAAGATGTCGCGGCGAGGCAAGGTGCGGGGCAGGGCGGGGGAGGAAGGGCAGCACATGCAGGCATCAGGGCCCGCCGATGAAGTCGGCGGAGAGGACGTCGCCATTGGAGCCCGCGATGAGGACGGCGCCGCCGAAGTCCACCCACCCGAGGGGGACGCCACAGCGGGATTGCGTTCGGTAAGTGGTGACGGCGAGCCCGAGCATGACATCGGGACTTGCGTTCTAACGCCCTCGGACAGACGCGCCGCCCCTCGGCGAAGCATAAATGGCGACGACGAGCCCGAACACGACAACGGGACTTGCGCTCTAACGCCAGCCGCTCGGAGGTCCACTCCAGGAGGACCGATGCGTGGCGACGTGATGCCCGAACACGACAACGGGACTTGCGTTCTAACACCCGACCCCGCTCGGGGGAAGGCGAGGCATCCGACAATAGGCAACGGTGAGCCCGAACACGACAACGGGACTTGCGATCTAACGCCTCGAGGCGGCGACGAGGGCAAGAAAGAGCCAGTCGCAAACGACACTGGCGTAGTCGGCGTTACCGAAGCCCCGCACGTAATAGGAGTCGACAGTGTGACTGGCGATGGTGGCGTCACTGGAGATCCGCGCGAAGATGGAGGCGTCAACGCGGTCGAAGAGCCAGGAGTCGCCCTCTGCGGTGTGCACGCAGACGTGGGAGAAGAAGGCGGCGCCAACGCAATCGTGGTCGCAGGCCCTGTCGTGTTGCCACATGCCAAAGACTCAATGAGAGGGTATGGAGGGGCGGCCGCACTTGAATGCACGCCCTGGGCAAGAGCCAAAGTGCTGCAGGATACTGCTGTATGATCCTCAACATTTCCCTCACGCACCCAACCATCACTTGGGGCATGCCTCCGCCCAGCACACGTTGCAGCCACGGGATCACGCTGCACCGCCGTTGCGCCCGCGGGCGGAGAGTGGCTGTGCATTGCGCCATCGCGAGATGGGGTGGGGGAAGGCCAGGGCTGGGGCGAGAGGGCCCATGGCAGCGCCAGGGCGTCAACGGCCAGGGGACAGGGGAAGGGCCATCAGATGGGGGATCAGAGGCATATGGGGACATGCCGTCGTCAGTCCCCGTGGAGGGCGAGGAGGACCGCACAACGGCCTGGGTTGGCTGATAACGCAGGGCCTGGACTTCGGGTGGGGGTGCCCATCGACGCAGTCGATCAGAGGGTCGAGCTCGCCTCAGAGAGCGGATATCAGCACTCACATATCCCCGCAGCTGTCCTGGCGTTGCGACCTGTGTGCCCTGGCGCGCAAGATTGAACGTCTGGTACATGACATGCATGTTCTCGAGATGGCCTGGATGAGGCAAATATAGCCCCAAACGCTCAGCTAGAGGTCTAGGCAAGGGACGCTGCATACAACGGCAAACCGCATGATATAAGATGGGGCATCGAGCATAGCGTCGTAGCCGGTCAAGCTTTTGACACCCGACTCTGCACTTGAGCTTCCCTTGTGGGTGAAGAATACGATAAGGCGTTAACCACCCATTTCCCCATGTACGCAGCGCAGGCATGGCCCAGCTCTGAGGGACGAGCCGAAGGAGTTCTTGTATATCTAACCAATGGATCTGATCCCAGAAGGGGGCGGTAGCCCACGAAGAGCGGGGTGAGGTTGCGGATTAACATAGCTTGGAGCGGCCTGTGTGCACACATCGCTTGCCCGAGAGAACGAGCCGCAGCGCGCTGTAGCCGCGGACGACGCGAGGTGACCATACTCTCCACTTGGACAGCTGAGCGGGCATCCACCAGAAAGGGTTCTTGGAAGCTCACCTGGACATGTTCAAGATACTCGGAAAAAAGCTGGAGAGCGCCAGAAAGATCTGTAAGCGCGCGAACGATCCAGGGAAACGAGGGCAACATCATCGAACTTCCCATCCAGAACCTCGTGGTGCCGTGTCGTCGCAGTCCGTCGCAGAAGACTCAGGTACGCTTCATATCCCTGGAATGTATGTACGGCAGCACGTAGGTGAGCAGCCGTTGCTTGAGCAGGCCAGGACGGGATCAGGGGCCCACCCCAGACCGGCAGTTCCAGGATCGACTCATTAGAGAAGAGACCCAAGGGAGCACGTAGCACTCGGGCAAGAGCGCCTCGTTCAATGGGTAAGAACCAGCCAGGCATGGGGAGGAATTGGGCAACGTAGGCGAGGCAAGGGTAGACTCGAGTGCGGTAAAGGATGCAGTTGGCGCTAACCGACGCGATCCCGCGGCCCAACATCCGAGACCGAGAACGGGTTTTCTGGAGGGGGCCTTCCCAGTTGAGCTCTACAGTGGCACCAGGACCCAAGATCATCCCAAGGTAAAGAAGCCAACCATCAACAGTAAAGTCAGCCCAAGCCCCAGCAATCGAAGCTAGCTGCGCTTTAGTCATGGTCCTCAGGGTGTCAGTCATGTTGGCGACGAGGGGGACCAGAGTGCACTTGCTGATCTTAATCTCGAGGCCCGCCAGCTTTTCCAGGGCCCCGAGGGCCCGAACAAGAATCCGTTAAGAGGCCATCTCATAGAGGACAGCGCCCAGGTCATCCGCGCACGCACGACATATCCCCAGAGAACGGCGCTCCACACTGTGTTCTAAATCGGCGAGCATCGGGGAGGAGGCGAGGGTGCGCAGAGATCCCGAGAGCCCGCACCCTTGGATAATGCCCGAGCGTATCCAAAATATAGTAACATATTGCCGCCCATCGTTGACCACCCCTTCAACAGCTGTATACATCCACGCCACAAGGGCCAAGATTTCCACGGGGAGGCCCAGGGGGCCCAAGAGCTGGAGCAGGAAGGACTGGGACAAGCTCGGGAAGGCCTGCCCGTAATCAAAACCGACGAGGATGGGTGAACGACGTTCGGCGAGAGGGTGCTGGGAGGCGAGGCGAGCATGTATATCGAGCTCTAAAACGTTGTGACAGAAGTTACGTCCAGAAATAAAGCCGCGCTGGGAAGCAGGGGCAACAGCCTGCACTACAGGCCCCAGTATCCGATTCATCACCGAGCTCAGGATTTCGACGCCCGTATTCCTCAATCCCAAGACACGGATTTTGTCAGGAGCGCGAGAGCAAGTCCCCGACGGCTGACCATCTGGGTCAGAGCCCTTCGGGAGGAAGGCCTGGAGGGTGACGCTGGCGGAGGCGAACAGAGATTGTCCCTGACAGAGCCAGCCGAACATCCTGGCCAGATGCTGGGCCCCAAAGTCGCATGCGAGCCCGGCGGCATAAGGTTGGCCATCCACTCCAGAGGCAGAATGTCGCGCGCGCATGATGGTCTTCCTGAAAATAGGTGTCAACGGGCTCTGAATCACGATGTCGGAGGCCTTGGCGAGGAACCTATCGAGGCACTTCTGGGTCAGGACAGGCTGGGGTATTTTCCTGGAGAATACATGTTTCCAGTAGGCCTCGAGGGCCGCCGTGCGCTCGCATGTATCCGTGACAGGGCCTTCAGGTGTGATGATCGCCGACAGGGCCAACCGCTTGGAGAAGGGGGCCCAGATGGAGGCCTTCCTCTCGAGAGCTCTCAGAAGCGTGGCCGAACAAGGCCTCCAAGCCGCTGAGGGCCCCTCGGGAGCCCGAGCAGAGGCAGCAGCAGTGATTTCTTTTTTCGCAGACATGCCGATGAACTCCGTCGGCCCACTGCTCGAAGGTCGGGGCGTGGCGCAGCGAGACCTCGGCGCCCTCGATGGCCAGCGCGTCGGCGGCGCGCTGGGAGGTCTCGACGAGCTTGGAGGCGAGACCGACGCCCTGCCGCCAGACCGCGCGGGCAATCCCACGTGCAACCAGCT